GAAAACTCGGTCCATCATGCGTGGACCAGGCGTATGTTTGGCTCAGTCCGCCGCTGCGCCCGATCCCGCCTCCAGGTCATTTTGACTCTGTCTTGCCACCAGACCCGGGAGCGGGAGGGAGGTGAGTGCGGTAGATGCAGCAGAAGTCTGCCATCACTATAAAATAATTCGCGCGTCCCCGCCAAGTTGTGGAGCACACAGTGGACCTTGTCGTTTAAGATGATTGAAGTGACACATGGAGGTGCATGTGCTTAACTGTAGCCTTGTCAACTACGGCAGGCAAACTACAATTCGTGATTATTTTCACCCAAAATCGACCATCTAGACCTCTATAAGGTCCCAGACTACAACCTCCTTCGTTGTTAGACACCAGCTTATTTTAACTGGTGACTACTGGATTCCCTGGGGCCACCTCACTTTCACAACTCTACATTGTTCTTAAATGCATTAACAGAACATCCCGTCAAACGGGATGGCGCTTCGAGTCAACTTACCTCCTAGTCGACATTTCGAAGTACGCTCCCACGAGTGGTAGTCTGCGGCCCATTTAATTGTTCAAACAAATTCAGTTTTCACAGAGGTTTATTTTACCCGTCGCAACGTCTCTCCAAAGCGCATTTCGTTGACAGCTTAGAATGTCTTGTTCTGCCGTCGACTGCGTTACCTGTTTTCCAATACGCACTTTCCAAATGAAGCCAAAACATTTTGGGTACTTTGTACACTCTTTCTTATTGTCATTCCTTACCGTCTTACGAGCTGAACATGATCATAAAATCGGTTTTGCTTGCTCCAGGAAAAGGCCTCAGTTTCATTTTTTATTCTTTAAAGGATCCCAACGGATATAGTGACCACTCGGCGCTCTTCCAGCATGTGCCGGAAGAAGAAATGTATGTCCTGGAGTACCTCGTATACCACGCCTATCCTTACGGCGTTTTCCGGGACCCCGGGGTGTACAGTCGTGCTCTCCAAATTCTTTCCGAGGCCTTACCGAAGAAAGTCTAGACAAGCCGAGATAAAGTCTCGCCCTACATAGATGCATGCCTGTTTTTACTGCCTAGTTTACTTTCTAATTTTTTCTTTCTTCGTTTTGTATTTTTTCAGATTTCCTCGTTTTTTAATGAATTTGACGAGTCCCTGCCGTCCTGTATCAGCGCCTGAATACAAAATGCTACACTGTCTTTAGCTCGTTTCCACTTTTGCCACTAGCACACCGACTGACCATTCTCCTCCGTTACAAATTTTCCTGACAGAGAACTATCCTGAAGACGACGGGACTTGCCGACGTTAGTTAGCGTCATGACGACACAGTAGTCGCTGCATGCCCTGATGAAAAACTGGTAGAAGCAGGGGACGTTTTCTTATGCTCAGGCAGTCGGTATGAAGGACAAACTAAGTTTGAAATCTGAAAACATCTAAATTTACGCAATTTTAAGCAAAGGTTTGATAGTGGAAGAAGTGAAGGCAGTCGTAGTACAGCAAGTAAAATAGACGGCCACAACTCCCAGCGAAGATGCCGGCTCTGTCCTTCGCATCTGCTCTGCCTGCCAGTAGCACTACATTCGAGCCGTCTGCCGTAAAATAAGGACTTGGAAGTCGGGGGGTGGGGGTGAAGAAATGCGGCTACTATCTCCTGACTGAGGCATATGACTTGCTGCATTCCAACCTTGAGGACCGTCAGTCGACGTTCTCATTTGTGGGCAAGATAGGTGCAACAGTGAGCATGTGCGAGTTCTCAGATTCTTGACTGACAGATCCGAATGAACTTGTTGGTGTCGTCAGTGTGATTCCCGCTTGGATTACGGGTGAGATGCGCCGTATAGCCTCCCAACCCTGCGTTCTAGTTTCGGCATGCCACTTTCGCAAAATGCTTTCGGTCCTCATTGGTGCTGACAGCTCATCCGGCTTATTTTCAATGCGATTTATTTACGAAAAAAGTTGACAGAGCAGCCGATTGCCATAGGTAACAGAGTCAATCGCGGCCTAACGTTGCCGACAAGGAAACATGAGTTACTCCGATGAACAGGCTGAGGCCGGTATTTTCTGGTTTGTACGCATGAATCGTTAAGTCTGAATATTTTTGTTCTGGAGTGCTCGTAGTGGAGGCCAGCCACTTCATTGAACTCCTTGGTGTTATTGGTTTCCTGATTGGCCGTCGAGGTCAGGGCCTCGGCAGTAGTCCGCGCATAATGGACTTTAATCTTCGCTTGCTTTACTATAAACAGTCGTGGGGTATGCACTGTTTTTAGAAGAGGAGACAGTGTTATCCTTTCTGTTGAGCAGTAGGAGCCGGAAGCGGGAGCACAAAGAGCAGTTCTGCCTTCTTTAAGCCAAAAGCTCGTCTATTGCCAGGAGAAAGAAGTAGGTCAGTGCCGGGTCTAGCAGAGTTGTTCAGTCCAGTTTATTAAAGGAAACGTAGGCGAACGCCTTTGAAGTCCCTATTGATTACGATTATGTCACAAGAAAACAATATGTTGGCAAGTGTGAAAGGAGGGTGGGTACTTAGTTACACGAAATCGTGGGAATGTGCCAGTGTATGTGTACTGTGTCAAAATTGTGAAACAGTTATTACGCGGTACCGAAATGGTCCAAGTAGTGTGGAAACCAACGTTTACACCTCAGTCAGGATTTTTGTCGTTCGCATGTGCACTTTCGACGGAGGCAGTCGGCCAAAAAATTGTAGGATAATGTTACTTAAATATAGGGAATAGCATGCTTCGTAGCGTATAACGTTTGGGGTTCCACGAGGGGAGAATTTGTTAGTTTCTGATAACGTGGTTGCACATATCCCTGTACTGGCCAAGCTTCCTCTTAAACGTGTTCACGGATGAGGACATGACGGCGTCCAAAGACAGAGCATTCCACGCCTTAATCCCTCTATGGCTGAGGAAGATTTTCCTTGCGTCCACTCTTTCCCCAGTCATGTGGTTTGAGAGGATGTCCTCTCAAGATAGTAGTGATGGCCAGCTCAAAAAAGTCGGTGGATGCTAGGCAACAATCCCGACTCCGCTGCATGCGAAACGTTCAAATTAAGGCGCTACGTAACTGTGTATTCCAGGGAAAAGATGTCAAGATTGGACAGTCGAGTTTAGTAAGGTAGGTTTTTTGACCTCTGACAAGCTTGGTCGTCCGTCGTTGGGCATTTTCGAGGGTAGTGCGGTCTTTGACACGCCAGGGTTTCCAGGCCTGAATGGCAAATTCCAACTGTAGCCGCACGAACATGCCGAAGACCATGCTAGAGCACTCTTCGTCGAACTTCGCAAATGCCCGCGTGATGAAATATAAGCTGGACATTGCGGATTTCGCTGCTTTCAATCAATGGAATGATGGCTTTAGTGAGGATGTTATTCCCACACCCAAATCCTTTTGAACCTCTACCACTGTAGCGGTATGTTATTTAGATAGTACGTGCTGAGGTGCGCAAAGCTGGTTTTGCCCATTCACAGAATGTTGCATTTGGCAACATTAAATTGGAGGAACCAGTGATCTAACCACTGTTCGAGTCGGTTCAAGTTTGCCTGTCGATTTGCTTCATCATTCTCGTTGCGGATGACGTTCCAAAGCTTTATGTCGTCGGCAAACTGGCAATGTCGCAGTCTAACCCACGGATGCAGTCATCAATACATATATGAGGAGGAGAATATGGTCAAGAACGGAGGCCCGAGGTACGCCGCTTGAAACTGTCACCTCCGCTGATCGCTGGTCACCAAAATGGAAGTTTTCGATCCACTTCAAAAGTTTGCCTCTTACCCCGATGAAGCTGAGTTTGTATAGGAGACGTTTGTGCGGCACACCATCGAAGGCCTTCTTGAAGTCTATGTAGGCCAAATGCGTCACTACTGCGTCAATCGCTCGGGTCCACCGTTTTTATACAGTAGAGTAAATTGGTCAAGCAGGACCGTCCTCTGCGGAATCCACGCCGCTCAATAGACAGGAGATGGTTTTGCTCTAAAAACCGCATCAGCTGGCTTTTGATAATTCGCTACATAACATTGCAGTAAATGAAGGTAAGGCTTACCGGTCGGTAGTCGTTTGCGGAAACGCGACTGCCATTTTTGTATACCGGTGAAATCCACGCAGTCTTCCACTCAGGAGGCAGTCTGCCTGCATCAAGAGAGGCTTGAGAGAGAAGATATAGAGGTTCCGCCAATTCTGTGGCTAACTCCTTCAACAACTTTGCTGGTATTTCACCAGAACCTGGCAATGTCGCTTCTTTCAGCTTCATTAGTTCGTATTGAACCGTAGTTTTTACAAGAACCACTGAGTCAATTGTTGTGACCTCATCCACATTATAGTTATCAGTGGGTAAATCGACTTGCCGCGTAAAAAGCGACTGAAAGAACTTGCATAGATGCTAAGCCTTTTCGTCGTCCTTGCAAACTTCGACACCATCAACCGTTTTTAACATAGGAATGGGATCTCTATTTCGAGTTGAAGATAAGCTCTGGGCTTTTTCCTTCGTAGTTTAGCGAGTTACTCTCGAAGTCTTTACGGGCTTTGTAAACAAAGCCCCTTATTTTATTTCGCTGCGCCTTGTACCTATTCATTAATTCGATTGCCTTCTCCCTAACATAGGATTTCTACAGCTTTTGCGTACAGTTAACCTCTCTCTTTAGCGTGCCCTTTAGCCATCGGAGCCTGCTGGTGATGTTCGTTTTCAATCTACGGCAGTATCTGGTGATACGTCCATGCAAAACGGCCTTAGATCTTAACCGGTCATCGAGAACACACCCCGTGCATGTTGCTTGCCGGTCTAACTGACGTATATCGATGTGCATTTGGTTGAAATCTCCACGCCATATGCTGAACCTGACCGTGATGCCATGACCAGGTACAGAGAGAATACTCCCACTGTGGAATTACATGGTCGCTTTTTCCAAGAGGGGTTAGACAGTTTGCGGCATCAGCGCTGTCAAACGCCTTTGCCAATATAAGGTCCAAACAGCTGGTTAGTAATCCTTCACAAAATCTGCTTGGGGGAGAGGCGTGCTGTGTGAGGTATGGTCTTTGCACTGCTTATAGGAGACGGCGATCGCAGTTGAATTCCGAGCCTGAGACAGAAGTTAGATTCCAGTCGATACGCGGAACGTTAAATTCACCCATAATCATGACATTGGGTCGGAGCGAAATCAATTCTTATTCCTCTATCAGACTACTGTCCGACTGTGGATCGTTCCCCAATGGGCGGTAGACCCTCAGGATCTCGAGAACTTACGACCCCGGTGTTTTGATAGTGAGCCAAATTGTTTCAGTTGTGCGTCCAAACTTTCCCTCATTTTCTGGCACAAGCAGGCCAGATTTGGCATATGCGAGCACACCCCTCCTTGACGTCCCTCTGTACCCCGTCTGAACGATTGATAACCAGAGATGACGACTTCACGGTCGTCTAGGTTCGCGGATAGTCACGTCTCAGTTATCGATATTACATTTGGTACGATTTTGCCTACGTAAACCTTAATCTCGTCTAATCTAGATAGCAGACGTTGCGCATTGATATACAAACATTTTATCCTTTTTGTCATTCGTAAGCCGGCTATTTCGATACAATTGAAATTTGCTCCAGTTGTGGCGACATGCGCACAGGAGGAATCTATACAAACCGGGGGGGCTGCCCGGTTATGCAGCTGTTGTATATAATCAGGTATTGTTCGCCACTCCTCTGTCACAGTCTGAGCTCCTGGACTAACTGCCGACGTTGTAGCCGCTCCGGTGATGCGTAATCCGGTTGAAAACTCCTTGGCGAGGATATTTTAATTGAAATCGCCTTGAGAGGATGAGATCAATGTGTTCTTTGCAAATAAGAACAATTTTGAGAGACCTAGGATACAGTGAGACGGAGGGTTCAGTATTGTGTTTTCCGAGCCTGAAGGCTTTTAATGCTGAAACTTCTTCATTGGGTTGAAGTAGTGCGTCCAGAAGACCTCAGGAGAAGCCGAAATCTGCTAGAACGCGTTCTGTAGGTGTGTCTGCGTGTGTCTCTTGAAGCCCTTGTATTGCTTGGCACTGTCCTCGGAGCGGCCTGTTTTTACGTTAAGATGGTAACATTGGAGTTTCTGGCGAACCTTTCGTGACGATATCCTGCTTGTCACCCTCTTTGGGGGCCTTTTCATGAACTAACCGCGCTGTGTTCGTGGCAATATTATCCCTATATTTCATATCAATAGAGAGGATTTTCGCATCCGCCGCGACTCTGTCTAGTCGATCGCTGGTCGTTTCTGTCAATTTCTCCGTCAAACTCTGTTTTTCCACCTCTGAAAGTTCTTTTCCTCGCGCATGACGAAGCCGTCTGGTTTCTGTCGTTTTCTCTTCAATCATCAGTTCAGTTTGACTTAGTTTCATCTTTTGATGTCATCATAATTTTCCATGTATGTTTTTATCGTTCTTCAGCAACAATTTAATGAGGTCTATGGAGAAGTTCATGCTCGTCTCCTATGATGTGATGTTTAAGACGAGATCCCAAAGATATTTACACCGTGCACAACAATTCGAAGTGTCAGTCTCTGGTAGAAAATCCTGTGTAGTTCGCAAGACGTATTCCAGTTTTTTGTGTTCACTGTAATCTGGAAGACGCGCCTTCGTGTAGCCAGGGTAACCATGGTCTAGCACAGTTGCTTACTAGAATTCTAATTTTAGGCTTCTATTACTACCCTAAAAAGATGCACTACCTTACGAACCCGCACGAGCGAGAATCTGATGTGCTATCCAATTGTGGAGTTATCTCAAATATTTTACAGAGTATGCGCTTGAATTGTTCATAATTGGTCGACTTTCAGTCGGCCTTATGCGTTTCGATCTTTGTTCGCTGGGCCGGTGATGGCTGGTGAAGGTGGGAGGTAGGATCAGACTCAGTTAAAACTCAAATTTTTCAAATGAGTCTATGAACCGTCACTGATAATGCCCAACGTCCGGGTGGTCTATGACATTATCAGGTGACAGATAAGTTGGGAAATTAAATTTCCAGGACGCTGAAACCAGCCCAGAAGTCACTTTTAAACTTCCTACATTGGCGAAAAGAAATCACCACGCAACGGTGGACAGTGAGGTTCCCCAGAGCTAAGCGCTGAAAAACTCTGTTCTTGATACATTAAGACGAGTGTGCACGATACTTTCATTAGAAGTCAACAATAACTGAGGACACCAAGAAGCTGGAATTGGTATCCGTGTCGCTTTCAGTAATAGACTTCGAACGAATCTAAATTCTCCGGGAAATAGTTAGCTTGTTGTCTTCTGTCATGCATCGTCAGCACGTGTACCCTATTTCATCTAGACAACGTAGTCAGATGCGCAGAGAACAGAGCCTCTGGAGACGAATATTCGCGTACCAGGTTCTTGATACAAAGAAGAGTATTCAATCACCGTGACGGAACTTGTGGTATTCTGAGCTTCCAGTCGTGCAGCAGCACATCTGCACTGATCGGGAAAGTACAAAAACACATGCGCAGATTTACATTACGACAACTCATGGAGGAAGTTCGTATGGCTTTGGCCGAGTTTGGAGACACGATGCTTGACAGCTGTGTTCGCAGGACGCGATGACTGTGTGTACCGTTTACTGATATGTGAGTCTGGCGTCCCGCTGCTCCAGTGCAACGCCTGAACACTAGGAAGCATGTCAACGTACTTGCTTATGGAATTGTTGCTAGAGCGTAGATTCTCCAGCGACTTTCAGTCCGTTTTATTGTCAGCTCAAAACAATGTCTGCGAGCTTGCTACATCGAATTCGCGATTCCCCCGAATTCCAAAATTAATTTTAGCAATTTGTACCATTGTTTTCACAGTCCGTGCCGCTCTTTTAACTCCGAAAGTGCCTGCGGGGTGGTATTCGATATAAGTACGATAATTGTAAAACACGAAAAAATATGCGTCTGGCAACCTCGTTCACGAATCTTTGGGCAATCAGGCTAACAACAGAGACATCCACCATCGTCGAGCTTGCAGCCATCGGCAGTTTTCCACGTCATGTGCAAAAGTTTAATTTTCAGCCATTTCTGGGTATGGTAAGTTTCTACCACTGTGCTAGAATTTCTTTCGTTGGGAAGCAATCACCTGATTACATCCGCTAGAACATATTTAAACATCAGCATGTGATCACGTTAACAAGTACTGAATGTTTGTGAAACATCCACGAAAACAAACGATTCGACAGTTTAACGAATTCTTGATATATGCACTGTGGTTATACACTAACGAGCCAAACCCTGATGGTAGGGATACTTGAGCTGCATCGTCCAGATTAACCTTGCAAACTCCCATGTTGGCGGAAACAGGAATGGGTTGGTCGGCGTTTCAACCATCACGAGTGTGTTGCATCAATGTATGCACGTCAATAACGCGCAAGCTGCATCGAGGTCGGTATTGTTGCCATCTCCAACATCCAGATATGCAAACCACCATTGGCCAAATAACCCGATTCAATGAACCACTCAACCACCCAAACAGTTTACTATCATTTGTCTGTGTACGGTGTTGATATTCCAGTCAAATTTCTCCACCCATGGATGCTAGCACACAGACAAATTCGTTTAAGAGGTACAAACATGGACATGAAGGATCAGATTCAGGCTTGCCTGAGGCCTCAACTGACTACTCTTCAACTCCATAAGAGGGTTGAGTCGTAAAACCTCCCACAGATTTGTGCATTTATTAGCAATGTTCACCTAGATTTTGAATGAGACTCGCACCATTCCTGCAGATTGGTGTTATTTAGCCGAGAACAAAACGGTACTCTTATGCCGAACGTCTCAGGCAAAGGTGGTAGGTCCACAACCGAATGTGAGAACGGCGCCACCAATTACCGATATTTCCTGGGACATCATCTTTGGTGTATCGTCCAGTACCCCCTGTAATAGCTGTGAGAAGTTCAGATCGACATTTCTATATCTCCTGAGTAATTTAAGACAATCGATGAGTTCCTGATCACCGCTTATAGTGCGGTAAACAAAACGACGGACGAACCACTGAAGTGCTTGCCAATGTGTTATTTTCCTCTCTTAAGACATCACTTAATCTAAATGTTCGTAACCACTAACTGTATATCTGAAAGTTGCTCTTTTCTAAGTCCGGTGCCCTTTTCGTATTTTAACCTATCACTGGCTGAAAATTTTTGTCTTGCTTGTTTTACGAACGTGGGCATGGTCTCCCTAGAAAGGTCCCCTGGCTTATTTAGAAAACCCGATATGCTCCTTGTCTTACAACACCTTAAGAATGATTGAAATTCGAAATAAC